AACTACGTTTACAAATTACGCTTACAGTTATTTACGATTCCGTGTCGTCGAAAGTAATGCAATCCGTTTCGTAGTGTTCCGTGTTGTCATCAACAGATTTTTTTTTCTCTCTTTCTCTGTAAAATATTGGATCTCGGGTTCGTTGTCTAAAGATCAAAGGCAATAGTAGTTTCAGCGTAAGAGTAGAAATTCGTCCCCTCTTTGGATGCCTTTGATAAAAGACTCGGTTGACGGGGGACAACAAGGCAGAATGGGAATTTTGTTTTTGCCCGGCGCGCGCGCGCGCTCGTGTGTGTGTGTGTGTGTGTGTGTGTGTGTGTGTGTGTGTGTGTGTGTGTGTGTGTGTGTCCGCGTGTGTGCGTGCGCGCGCGCGCCTATTTAAGAATTAATTTAGCGTTAAGGATTGAAAATTCACAAGAGCGTAGAATGTAAAATTTAGATAACAAGTTTCACATTTGCTTATAAGAAACTACAGAGTCCTTAATCACGTACAAGCATTTCTACGGGACAATTTAAAGGTCGTGATCTAGCAAGGTGTAAAAATCCAAGCCTTTGAGAAACAGGGACGTGTCTCCCCTCTTGCGCCGCGTCAACAGCAGGTCCAGCTGGCGTCCGCGTGTGTGGCCCCGCGGGATTTCACACATCGCCTCAACCAAAGACTGCTGGGGCCTCGTCTCAGAGAACGGACCCTTTTGCTCATGTATTTCCCTTGTTATGTGAACGTTTTTTTTTATATTTACATATTTATTGATTACTTACTTTCTCGGTTTTATGGATCTTCTTGGTCTTCTTTCCATTCCCACTCTCTAAACTTCTTGGACTGAAAAAAAAAATCCTATTGGCTCACTTAAGGGATAAGGGAAAGGTAAGGGGGAAGGGGAGGTGTGGGGGAGGGGAGGGGAGGGGAGGGGAAGAAGGGGTTGCTCCCGGGCTGTCACTATTTTTTTTCGAAGTCACGAAAAATCAGAGAAATAGAAGGATCGAAAAGATCTGTGGTGAATCCTGCAAGATGTGAACAAGGTTGTGTCATGGCTTCACTCCAAGGATATTTAGAGAGTCTTTTTAAGATCTCTTCTCTCTTTTGTTTTAGTACTTTCGAGTTTACCAAACTTGCATCTTGTTTTTTAAAAACGTTACTATCATTTTCTTCTCTCAACTCTCGCTCAGCCTATTTTTTTGCTGACATTATGATTATCTTTTTTATATCTTTAGCTCCTCCTTCGACCTCGCCTTTCCGACCAACATAGTATTCCGTGCTCTCTAACAACCTTGGAGTGAAGCTGTGCCTTTGGGGAAAACGCATATCACAAAACATTGATGCGAAGGTGTGTAAGAGCGCATACAACGGCCTGCCTTCATTAAAACTCGGCCACAGTTCATGTCTGCTGCGTCCACTCCAACGCCTTAGAGAGCAAGCCAAGAGCCGTGGGCGCGCGGGCGGGCTGGCTGGTGGGCGTCCTCCGTCCTCCACAGCCCCGTGTGTCCGTGACGACCCGTGCTGCTGCAGGCGCGCCCGGTGTCCTCCAGCCTGCGATCTTGGCGCTCACTTGCATTTCCTGCAAACGTCTTGGACATTTCGCATGATCTATTTTTGGGTCTGGTTCCTGGGGGGATTTTTCTCTTTTCCGGCGACTCTCAGAGGGTCTGAGTTTGCTCAGTGTTCTTACAATTAACGGGAATAAACTTAGTAAAGACCCTTAGGTCAGAACAGCTGAAGTAGGGAGAGCGCACAGCCACATTTTCGTTGACGCAGAAACCCCGCTCTTCCTCCGACAGGTACAAGCAGAGCGCGAGAAGCTGGCCTACGACTACGACCAGATCCAGAGCCAGCTGGACAAGGCGCATGGCCAGAGCGCAAGGCTGGCCAAGGAGCGCGAGGCCCTGCAGCTGGAGGCCGACCGCCTGCGGGAGAAGCATGACAAGGTTCAGGTAAGTCGCCGCCTCGCCCCGTGCCCCTCCACCCCCAGCCTGCTTGTGTGCCCCAAGCATGCGAAGTCCGGTGTGACGCCATAGCCATCACAGCACCTCGTGTTGATATATCAATACCGAAGGCTTCTTTTGTAGCTTCTAGAAGTATGTAGCGCCACGTTGGAACTGTTTATTTTATGATGGTTGATATATTATTTTTTTCTCCCCCCGATTTTTTTAATGCTAGCTGACTTGGAATCCTGGTGCATCCAGCTTGCAAGGCTTTTTGAGTTGACAGAATAATAATGTTGATAAAAGTCGTTCATGCTTACTGCGAGAACTGAGCTTTGATTATACGTGAAGCATCGCCAGCCTCGACACCTATACCTCTCCTCCCCTCACCTGCCTCTGAAGCCACCTGGCTAACCTACCAGCTGGTTCTCCCTCAGACGCAGTTGGCGCGCCTGCAGAAAGAGCGGGAGTCGGCCGCTTCCGAGGTGGAGACGCTCACCGAGAAGGTGGACTTGTTGCAGGCGCAGCTTGGCAAGGCTCAGAGGGACCGAGAGAACGCGCTCGGGGACATGGAACTGCT